AGAGTGGTTCCTCAGTGGAACAGGCTTCCTCAGGAAGTGGTGGGCTCTCCTTCTTTGGAGGTTTTCAAACAGAGGCTAGGTGGCCATCTTACAGCAATGTAGATTCTGTGAACTTAGGCAGATCATGAGAGGGAGGGCAGGAAGGGCTGCCTCAGTGCTTAGTTCTTGTGGCCCTTTCTTCCACACCCAGGGAAATGCTGATCGCCACTTTGGGGTCAGGAAGCAAATTTTCTCCAGGCTGGTTTGGCCAGGGATCCTGGAGGTTGTTTGTCATCTTCTGGGTGTGGAACAGCAGTCACTGCAGGTGTGGAGGGGGAGGTATTTGTGAATTTCCTGCTTTGAGCAGGGGGTTGGACTAGATGACCCTGGAGGCCCCTTCCAACTCTATGATTCTATGAAAGAGGATGTTAGAACTGAAGTATCTATTTTTCTTCCATCACAAGTATGATTTTGTCTCCTCTGCAGCAAGGTGCCAGCTCCACGGCCCTTGGTCTCTTCATCTTCTTCCACCTCAGCGGCTGAGCAGCTGGATGACCTGCTGGCTTGCTTGGGAGCAATGCAGTCCAAGGTGAATCACGGCCCTTCTGACCTCTGTAGAAGGAACAGTAGAAACCCTCACGGTCTGTAATGAAACGCCAACACCTGCACACTCCCGAGGGAGCAATTCCCGAGAGAGCAACTGCCCCAGCAGTTGTTCCCAGGAGTAAGGTAGGGTAAGAAAGGAACAGTAAACGGGAGAGCACAGTGAGGAGCTGTCGTCTGTGCATGGTCTCCAGTAATGCCATAGCAGAATAAGTGGGCTTTGAGGAAGCTGATATAGGCTTGAGAGATTTAGAACTCTTTGAGGGATAGAGGATAACATGAAAGAGGCATAGACGTGAGGGTGTGGAGGGGAGTGTAATGAAAGTTTACGGAGAGCCAAATAAGCATCTTCCAAAGGCCAGATGAGAGGAGCAATTGAATGGCTGGAGGGATGGAGGAGCTTTTTAAATATAACTGCAAGGAACTTGAGGTACACCTAGGGTGGCCAACAGGCCTGAAAGAAATGTGCTGTCTCTTTAGTCAAGACTTATCGTATAGACATGGGCAGTTGAAGCTTTTAATGGCATCGAGGTAAAAAAAAAAAGCACCTGGGAAATAACATCCCATTAAGCCTCTATTAAATGAACAGGACATTCCCCCACCCCACCCCGGTTATTGGCAACTTACGTGCCTCACATTTCAGGATGGCAAAGTTCACTTATCAACATAACCATTTGCCCCTGCAGCGTGCATAGGGGGGGAAAGCTAGAAAGGTGAAAGAGAGAGGAAGTTTGGAGAAGGGACAGTGCTAACGGTTATTTGCTTTTTCTGCAGACTTCATACGGGATAGAAGGTCCTGCAGAGCCATCACCAGGGGAACAGGATACCACTGACACCCTAGACGGCATGTTGGAAGGCCTGACTCAGGGACTGCAGGACCTTGGTGTTGCTGCTGTGCCAAAGGGCAGCTGTGCTTCCTGCCACAAACCGATTGCTGGGAAGGTGAGAGGGGGTGGGTCATAAATCCTGACAGGCCTCTCTAGCGGCTCTCTAGCCTGGGGGGGTTTTTTTGTTATTAATGATCACTGATACATCACAAGCAAACAAACAAACAAAAAAACCCTGCTGTGCAGAGCGTCAGCTGTTCTTATAATTTCTGTCACATACTGCTGTTATACTTTTATAAGTATAATATATCATACATAATGTAATACATTTCATACTTCCAATTACAGAAAGAAACAAAGAGGCGTCATAATAACTCGTAAACCTCAGCCCCACTAAAACAAATGAGACAACACTTTCTCTCTTACCTTATTATTCCAAAACATTATAAATGGAGTCTTGTGTGTGCAGGGACTGGGTGATTCACAAATCTAAACAAACAAACAAACAAATGATAAATTCAGCTGACCATTGAAAATTATTTTTCTGGGTTCTTTGTTAATATGTTAACTTAGTTAATAATGCAGTATTCCACATGTGATTCTGTTGGGTTAATTAAAAGGGTACATTCCTTTTCAGATGTAGAACTTTTTTGAGCTTCCTCACCAGGGCTAAATTGACAAAGCAGCAAAATGGAAAAAGTCAGAACCTCTTTCAGAAGGTGAATGGTTGGGTCAAGTGGGAAACTACAACCCAACATTTTATTAACAACCTGAATTACACATTTCCAAAAAGGTTGAATTTTTGAACATGACTAAAAATATATTTTAAAAATCTGCCATAGATGAGTTATACCACCATTTCTATGTATTCTGATGAGGGTTTTATAGAATCATAGAGTTGAAAGGGACCTCCAGGGTCATCTAGTCTAACCCCCTGCACAAGGCAGGAAATTCACAAATACCTCCCCCTCCATACCTGCAGTGACCGCTATTCCACGCCCAGAAGATGGCAAAAAACTTCCAGGATCCCTGGCCAAAACGGCCTGGAGAAAAATTGCTTCCTGACCCCAAAGTGGCGATCAGCATTTCCCTGGGCGTGTAAGAAAGGGCCACAAGAACTAAGCACTGAGACTCCTTTGGGTAGTGAAGGGCGGGGTATAAATCCAATCTCCTCCTCTCCTCCTCCTCACTCTTTCACCACTCGGATGACTCGAGCCGGAATCCAGGTGGGCCCCTTGGCGTAGTTCCGTGCGTACACCGGATCTTCAGGAAAGAACCCCCTGGCGGCCTCGTGCGTCTCTGTGCTTGGGGCCTCTGGCGATGCCCGGTCTGGGTGCAGCCGATCCAGCCGAGACATCAGGCGGCGGCCCAGCAGTAGTTCCGCCGGACCGCGCCCCGTAGTGGTGTGGGGCGTTGTCCGCTGGCCAAACAGGAAGGATGCCAGTTTGTAGTCCCAGTCCGCAGAGTCCAGGCAGCGGAGGGCGTCCTTGGTTGTGCGGACCATGCGTTCCGCATGGCCGTTGGTCGCCAGGTGAAACAGCACTGACCGGACGTGCCGGATCCTGTAGTACCGGGTGAAGTCTTGGAATTCTGCGGATGTGAAAGCCGTCCCGTTGTCTGTGACCAGCGTGTCGGGGATTCCCTGGGCGCTGAAGATCTGCCACATTGCCCGGATGGCCGCTTTGGAGGACGTCGAAGAGACCGGGATCACCTC